CCTCTGAGTCTTTGTGGGGGCAGAGTTTTTCCTTATCTGCTATGAAGGTCCAAGGACAGAGGGCTGTCGTATGTTGTAAAGCCCTCTGAGGCAAATTGTGATTTGTGATATTGGGCTTTATAAAAAAAATTCAATTGAACTGAACTTTCTCCAAATCTCTTATTTTCATTTGTCACACAACTACCATGTGTACAGCAGAGTGCCAAAAATAAGAGAGAGATTGAGATTGGACGATCCATCGAGTTGAGACTAAAGATGCACAAAAGTTTTTGTGGGGCAATTCAGGCGCTGCTCAGCTGTCTGAAGAGCACTTAAGCATTATGATCCTGTATTAAGAGGCTGAGTGACACCACTCAAACTTGTTTCTGATTGGAAGAAGTTAGTGTTAAAGTGAATCCACTCTGCCCTATCTCAGACATGTGGCTCCAATTATTATCTTCCCTATGACGAATTATAAGAGGTCATAAGTGCAAGAATAAATTCCTCATATGAGCATAACAAAATCTATCTATCTATCTATCTATCTATCTATCTATCTATCCGTCTTTCTGATGTTGTGATGATGTAAATTATGCAGATGCTAGTTTCTCCTGGAGTCAAATGTAAGAGGACATCAGTGTGAAAGCCTGGACGGCCCTCACCATGTATTTATCCCCTCTCTGAAGGATGCATTACCAAGTCTCCCTGTTTTATTTGCCGTATTTAACCAGGTTTTACAGATCAGGGCTCTGATATATAAAGATGCATCGGCTATTGTAGCTTTGTGAGTCTTCAGCCTCCATCAGCAGCCTGATTGACGCTTCTATTCACCTATAAGTGCTGCCTTCACACCGCTTTTCCACAGCTTTTATTTTCAAATGGACGTTTCGTTTTATAGCAATCCCTTTTGACTCGCTCCTTTCACTGCCACTTGGAGGTAGAAATATAGAAATAAATGTGAAAATAATAACAGCATATGGCCCCTTTTTTTCTCTCTCCCACTCTCCACTGGGCTGGAATCACAGTGTGACTGTATTACAGAAAAGGCTTTTCAGCAAGAAGAGCATGTTTCCATATGAAAAGGCAACAACAAGCGAGGCTTCTATCACATTCATGCACCCAGGACAGGAGAAAAAGTCATCCATGTGTGCCATTACACACCAAAAAAAAAAGTGTCACATTCAAATTTAATCCACCGGTAAATGATCTGAGCTGGACTAAAGAAATTTAAATGTAATTTTAAACCTAAAAATCCTGATTTGCTTTTCATATTGCTAAACATGTATAAATAAATAACCATAAGCTAAAGGCTGCAGCTGCTGAGTTTAGAATACTGATTCTATATTCTACTGAATACTCTTGCCTTCGGGGTTAAGGTTAACCCTCCCCATATACAAGTATTTCAGTTTTAATAAAATACGCATAATATGTGATGACATGTTTCTGCTGAATCAATATCATGTTGCATTTTGGATTGAGAAATATACTGGGGAAAACCATGAGCATTTGCATGCCTCTCTAAAGAAGTACACTGCAAATTATTTCCAGGAAGTAACAATATGTAACTATAATATTTCACATTAAGTTACATTATTATCTCCTCACAGGCTTTTTCTGTTATATTTAACCAAATTCAGGATTTTACTGTGAAATTCTTGCAGGTAAATATAGTAATTTTACAGAAAAACACTGCTAAATCACAGTAATATATGGAGTTTAACTATGTGATTACAGTGATCCAATATACATAAACTGTGAAGTTACATTTAAATTCAGTAATTTACAGGAACACACTGTTATATCAGTAATGTTATGAGCTTTAACTGTGAGGTTACAGTTAAATATAATAATTTTACAGTAGTATACTGCCAAATCACAGTAATATGCAGCCAGAAGCACTGCATACACTTGTCATGTTATAAGACTTTTTAAAAGGGTCTGAGTCATTTTTTTTTAATTGTACATTTTTTTAATTCTATATTTAAGTTCTTGAGTGTTGCAACATTTTGCCTTATTCCTTGTAATATGTTTAATGTATGCACCAACCAAAAATTCATCATAAGTGAAAACCTACTTGACAATAAATCCTTTATGATTATGATATATCACAATATGTTGTCATGATGTTATCGCAATAGTCAGGATACTGCAAAACATTTAAAATCGCAATAATATATCTCACCTTTATTTATTCTCGAATGGACACTGAGGTTACCCTCATTTTCAATGCCATCGAGTTTACAAGCACATATAAGTATCATAATAATATTGTATCAGGGGCCTCTGGTGATTCCCACACCAAGTTTTAAGACACATTTTATTTTGAAATTAAATTTTAAAGGGATATTTTCTATTTGTTGCTCCAAGACAGGATTGTGATGTATATCAGTGATGGAGATGTATATATGAGGTAAAACAATGACCCTGCTCAATGGTTAAAGGGTGAAAGAGCAATGATGGAGTGGCTGAGGTGGGGATAGGTTTTAAAAGGAGTGAGTGAACTATGTATTATAATGGGAAGGCCCACAGTAGTAGAGCATGTGAGATAACATTCTATTGCATTCATTTAAAAAATCCAAAACTCAGTTTAAATTAAAAAATAAAAACTTAAATGGAAAGACTGACTTGTATGCTTAATTGTTTTTAATGTGGACTCATGGAAGACGAGCTAAAATCCAATCAAATCAAGTCCTGCTGAGGATAGCGACAGTGAGTGGATCCATCTTATACATTTAACCACTGAGTCAACACAAAGGAAATACAAATTCTTGGCCTATATAGAATCAGATCTTTCTTAAATGAAGAACAATCCATATGTGCTATCTATGTTTGTAAAGAAAACATGTAGTGAAGCAAGTAGAGGAGTTGCAGGTAGCCATACAGACATCGGTAGGCTATATCATTTGCAAAATCAGAGTGCAGTGCAGGGAATGTGAAAGCCCGTCTCTGTCATGAGCAAAAGCAACAGCTGCCTGATGTTCCACAGGGTGAAAACACAGTAAATGGAGACAGGTTCTTAATGGGAAGTAGAACAAAATATTGAATTGGTAAAGAAATCATCATGTATGTTCTAACACACCTGTGAAATTGCATGTGCCTGTTTTCACCTTCTTCTTTTTTTTTTAAACCCACATGGTTCATAGGTGTAGATTTTTGGGGGGATGCAGGGGCCATGACCCCCTAAATATTTGAAATGTGTGCATTTGTAGCCCCTTGTACCCTTTTTTGACCAAATTAAAGACGTTTTAAACTGTAAATTAATTCAGAAAAAGCACAAATTGGTTTATAAACATTTAGCAGAATGCAGGAAATTAGCGAAGTGTTTGATGCTCAAACTTATTTGGCTGAAGACCCTCAAAACTCCTATTTCATACTTCAATCGAAACATTCTGGGTGGCAAACATGTTTAAATGCCTTCTTTCTGTCTCTTAGAACCAACTCTGTTTAATGTGTTGTAGCTGACGTTTATGCGGGATTAATATGTTTTATCCACAATTTAAAAATACCATGCAAAACTAATAAAAGTCATATTTTCGTGCAGGGAAACAAGTAGGTGGAATTCATCTGTAGAGCTGATTGAAATCAGTTGCTTTAACGCATTAGTGGAGGACAATAAGCTTCAAACAGAGCTCTAACTCTGTGTCCGCACCGCTCTAATCATCTGCCATATCTAAACGGCACATTTCCAAATCACAAACTTATCTGTCAGCCTGACGTGAGCATGTGTTAAGACCCCACTGAGTGTTAAATACAATCAGCGAGTCCCATTAAGGTCTGAACTGGGAATCCACGTTCCTCCACAGCAGCCACCCCCAAACACACACCAAACACACACACACACACACACACACACACACACACACACACAGACAAACTCGACCACTCAGCGCATGTTGATTAGCGGTGTAAATATGCAATAAGTACTCTTTTTCCAGGCTGAATGGAGGCGATAATGGGTCGTTATCTTATCCCGGTCAGGGGGGAAATGTTCGGCGGTGTTGACCCGCAGAGAGGGAGCTGCTGCCGGGGAGGAAACGCGCTGATCTGCTCCCCGCGGAGAAGCGAGCGGACGGAGGATAATGAGATGAATCCCAGATATAATGCTCAGTGGTTTCGGTCCGACATGGAAACACGGTTAATATTCATTTACTCATGTAGGGAAGGGAAGCGGAAAACAAATAAAAGCCTTGATTACAGTTTTACTGCACCTTTACACACATGTTGCCCACACACAGGTCAACGGGTTATTTTATTAACTTCAGCTAGCAGCATAATCGCATGACTTGGGAGTGTTTACACATCTGTAACACTACATTAAAAATAAGGGATTATTTAATAATAATCATGACTAATAAAAAAACCACTCCACGCGTAAATTTCCTGAGGCCTACGGCACATTTTATAACCGTATCAATACATTTTAATTAAAAAGTTTCTGTACCTAATGATAGACTTGAAGTTGCCAAACGATTTGAAATTCATAAATTAATAATAGTATTTAACTTACTTCACCACTTTTTCGCACAAAAGAATTGCTTTACAAAACCTGTTTTCCCCCTCAAAACCTACCAACAATATTAAAAAAATAAAATAAAAAAAACAACAACCCTGTAACCCTCCTGACTCAGTACAATTAAAGATTCTGAACATAAAAATGCATTTCTTTATTTTGGTGTCGTTTTTAAGGTTTGACTCTGACTTTATAATCGGTGGAAGAGGCCCTATCCGCCCCCTGACTGTAAATACTAATGTAAATCTGTTCCATAGATTATGATGCCTTCATTGACAAGGAAATAATCGGATTACTCTAAAGAAGACCCTCTGTGTCCCAGCAACAGAGTTCCCGAAGTCTGCAAACAGTGCGGATTATCTTAATTGAATTAATTCTCAATACACAGATATGTGGCCGTTCACGCCGCGAGTTGCAGCAGCTGATCCCAGAGCAGCCGCTCCACCGTGACGTCAGCGTGGTATAAAAGCAGCCCTGCTCTCAGTCGGTCCTATTAAAACCACCAGTCCGCATCCTCGACACGAACCCGCGGAGTCGCGCATGCACGGAAGAAAAGTACCCTCCAGAGTCACCATGGCGCAGATTTAGGAGAACCTTTGTCCACGGACCACAGAAATCTTTCAGTCCAGGACTTTTACTTTCACCAAGCTTTTTTTCCCACTTTCCCAAGTTTTCCAGTTTCCGAGCCGCCGCGCACCGGTGTGATGCCCGCTGGGATGTTCAGCATAGACAGCATCCTGTCCGGCCGGCCGAGCTGCAAGGAGCCGCTGCTGCTGCACCGGAGCGGGCCGGTGGTGCTGTCCGCCGGCCTTACGGACTCTATCTATACCGACTACAACGGACTGTACTCGGCCACATGCGGGCCCTCCCCCCCCGGTGTTCAGCCTGTGAACGGGGCCAGGATAGGATATAACGGCTACTACTACGGACAGCTACACGTCCAGGGCGCCGGAGGAGCGCCGCCGTGCTGCGGCTCTGTGCCCGGTCTCAGCCCGCAGCAGTGCCCCTGCATCCCGGCAGGTAGGATAACCAAACTCATGCTCTTTTGATAGTTGTCAGCTTAAATTTAAGTGTGAACTCTTTACTCAAGGAGTTATGCAGGATTTTTTTTCTGTTTGTTTTTAAATGAAAGATCGGTCGTTTTATAAGCAACATTAACATTAATTAAAAATAAAAAGTGGTATTTCTGCAGACAGTGTGTGCTTTATTCGTTGTACCAGGTCTCAGTTTGAGCCCAAATTTCGAAGACAATATGTTATTCAAAGGGCTGACTCCCAACAGTTTGTGAAACACATGATGGTTGATAATCTGTTTTCGTGACAAATTTCCTCGCACAGACAAAAATTTTAATTTTTAATCTTATGCATAAAATCACGAATTGCAACGTTAATTTCCACATATACTACATTCTGCACATTTACACACAGAAACCGATTGAGACACTTGCAAATATGAAATATTAAATGAAACAAATCTGATGTCAAATAAATGTGTGATGTCTTCATCTTGTTCGTTTGATGACCCAGTGCTGTTGCGGGTTTAATGCGGAAACCCGTTTCCAACTTGTTGCTTTATGCTTAACACAGCTGTGTGTACAGGGAGAGAAACTGTTTCAAACTGGGGAATATGTCTGCACACAGTTAAAGATACAGAGTTTGCTATATTTAATGCATGAGCAAAAATATTAACATAAAATGATAAAGCTCAAGTGCGCTATTTTACGCACCAGCTGTAATCTGATCGTACACAACCGAAGCCAGAGCTCCCAATTAGCCTCATTACGCACGAGCACTGTTTATATGTTTGTATATAGACTGCGGCAGTTTGATTGTTCCAACCATTCAACTCACTCATGCGTGATATTTCTTCGTCCCTCCGCCATGCAGGCTACGAGAGCCCGGGCTCGGTGCTTATCTCTCCAGTCCCGCACCAGATGATGTCCTACATGAACATGGGCAGCCTGTCGCGGACCGAGCTGCAGCTCCTCAACCAGCTGCATTGCCGCAGGAAGCGGAGGCACCGCACCATTTTCACGGACGAGCAGCTGGAGGCTCTGGAAGGCCTCTTCGAAGAGACCAAGTACCCGGACGTCGGCACCCGGGAGCAGCTGGCCCGTAAGGTCCACCTCCGGGAGGAGAAGGTCGAGGTCAGAGCCGCTTTGACTTTTCACACAGTTGCTTTTTTTTATTCATTCACTGCACTGATTCTCATTATATATTTTAAAAAAAAGTCAAAACAGGGAAAACAACATTCAGTTTCTCTCATTTGATGTAATAATTCTAATAGTTTGGTTTCTTATAAAACAAGCAGATTTCAATACAGAAACAAAGATGTTATGCACCAGAGATAGACTAACAATTGTAGTCTTTTTAACAGATGACAAATGTAATTGACAGATTATTGTTATTGTTATTGTTATTATTATTATTATCATTATTATTATTATTGGTAGTTGTAGTAGTAGTATTAGCATAGTTTTAATTTCTATTATTAGTCCCCTTATTGTAGTCTTTGATATGGACTTTTACACAATTTAGGTAATAACCACGGACCTATTTTTGGTTATTATCAAGAATTTTTTTTTTATTATTATTTTTTTTAATCATTTTATTATTATAGGCGGCCAGGAGTTTTGTCCCGCCCCTGTCCCTAATTTATTGGCCTATAAAGTTCATTTAAAAAAAACCCAACAGCAACAAGAAAAACCCCGAAAAGGATGTGACATCATTTAGTTTACTTTAAAAATAAGTGCACAATTAGACATCTGATCAGGAGCAGATAGGACATTTCAGTGGTAGATTTGTTGTGTCTGACAGTGCAGTTTTAATGACTTACAACAGAGACGTATTCATCGAGACAATAGCTCTACTTTCATTTAACATTTTTCTGAGTAAATGAAAAAAATAATATTTTCAACGGAAAACCACGTGAACAAACTAGATAACAATTATAATAATACAGCTGCTAATAATGATTATCATTATTATTATTATCATTATTATTATCATCAAAAATGATGAGCAAAACTCAGCAGAATGTAAGTAAAGTAAATAAAAGTTCATGGTATGAATAATGTTTTGTTTTGGATTTTCTTAAAAAAATATAATAAAAAACAATAATGCACTCTGACGATTTTTCACACAAAGGTGTGATTTTTGACTTTATAAATACAACTGACTTTTTTTCGTTAAAGGGTGTTTTCAGGGAGTTCTTCCTCAGCCTATGTGCTGTGAGGGTCCAGGGACAGACGGATGTCGTATGCCCCCTGAGGCAAATTGTGATTTGTGATATTGGACTTTATAAATAAGACTGAATTGAACTGACGCGCTGTGGGAAGAAAAGAAACATTACAGGCTAAACATACATATGAAGACACAATGTTTCAATCTTTGAACAATACGGGCAATGGATATTAAAAAACAAAGTTTTAATATGTAAATAGTAGAGCGTCATAAAACAAATATAAAGTGAGGCTTGACGAATGTGAAATCCCGCATAGACCTCACGTGAGACATATTTTGGGATTAATTATGCGAAGGAACAAATACCGACAAATGGAAGTACTGTTAGGCTCTTGAGATCTAACCAAACATTACGGGCAAGAAAATAAAACAAAGCTTTGAAAAAGTAAAGAAATGAAATGAAATGAAATGAAAGGAAGGAGAAACTTTAGTCTTAGGTATTAAAACTGTTCTTTGTTTTCAACACGTAGGTTTGGTTCAAAAACAGACGCGCGAAGTGGAGGAGGCAGAAAAGGTCTTCGTCAGAGGAATCAGAGAACTCTCAGAAATGGAACAAATCCACCAAAACGTCCGCGGAGAAAACCGAGGAGAGTAAAAGCGAGGTGGACTCGGACAGCTGATAATAAAAGCGACCTGACGCGGCCACATGTGTGTGTGTACATATAGTGGAAAGTGGTGTGGACTCGACGGCATGCTGGTGGTGTGATCAAACGTGTTGCCATGTTGCACAGTTGTACATATCTACATTTTATTATGGATTCTGTGTCCGCTATTTATATTTAATTTAAGTTTTTTTTTTTTTTTGTAATGTTACGCACGCCAGAGGACGTGAAGCTCGGAGGATTGACTGACATGTCTGAATATATCGTAATATTATATGTGACATTTTTGTGGATATTAAATGTTGTAATTCTGGTATTTTTTTCCGTTGTAGCATTATTCAGTGCGCTCAGCCAGCCGCAGCGGAAACACGTGGAGACTGTAAAAACACTCCGAGGCTGAGCGCAGCATCACCATACAGCTGATGTGAAAAATAAGCCGGCATTTTTATCTTATTTTATTTTTCAAAAATAAGCAAACCTACGTAAAAGGACAGCGAGTATTCATTAAAATATAAATGAAACATCATCACCATGTTGTCTGACTTTTTCTTTGAGGTGGAGAGATGCTGATGTCACTTGGCTGTAATACTGAAAGGACAGATTCAAAAAATATAAGGCATAGGATTTTAGAAAGGTAGCTCGTGTTTGAATTCTTTAAAATTCTAATTGCAATAAAATACAAATTTTGGCGGTAGTTACATTCGACAAATAATGACCAAAAAATAAAACAAATAACAAAAATAGAAATAATAGCAGATTAATATAATTTATTCTAAGTGCCACATGTCTGTTGTTGTTTTTCCATGCCATTTGGGGCTTTTGTTGTTGTTTTATAAGCTGATTTCAGTATTGTAAGACCTCATATATCTTTTCAAAAGCAACTTAAATTCCCCCCTCCATCCTCAACAATGGTTTGGAGAAAGATGGCTTCATGTTGATAAGTACAACATGCGCAAAATAAAACAAATAAAAATAAAATGTTAAAAATTAAATTAATAATAACAATCAGTATTCAAGAAATCTTCCCTTTTGGTGTCATAGTTTTCTGCTGGGTGGACGGTGGTGCTTGGGGGACTCATGATGACCTCACTATTGCTAAAATTCTTGCTACAGCCTTGCAAGTAGTGATTATTTTCCATTAGATCAACTGATCAGTCCTAAAGTGTCCAAAGAGATTAAGACAACTATGCGTCACACAAAGTGGGTCAAATTGTTGTCTACAAACTTCTTATTTAGTCTGAAAATCAGCCAGTTAAAGCAGCAAATCCTCATGGGAGAGACTGATTTGGTTTAATATCCAGCTTACTCTGCTGTTTAATGACTCATTTTGTTATCACTTACTTTTCTGTAGATGGAATAATGGAATAATTAGACTATAGGTTTTGGCTCTCGTCACTATTTCATAAAGTAAATTGGTCTTCATATTGTCAAAGCTGCTCATTTGCTCCTTAAATGGCGTGTGAATGTCAGTGTTGAGTGTCAGAAGCCTCTGTACTACCCATCTAACCTGTTGTGCCCCACATTTTTCCACTGGAACACTCGAGAAGCATCAGGCCTGTATGTGTTGTCCTTTCCATTATAGCATATATATTCACAGTCCCAAATGTAAAAGGACTTTTTAACTCCTCACTAACATAGAAGATGGGAATAATCATACACTGAAGACAATGAGAAATTCTGGTTTAGCTCATGTTTTTTATTTAAAGTTTTATTCATTTTAACATATTGACTTTATAGACTTAATAGAACAATACAAATTATATAAATATAAAAGGATTCACAGTCACAAGAACCCCCAACAACAAACAAACAAACAAACAAAAAAAAACATAACTAACTTAAAAGGCAGCCACAAGAACCCAACCTGACGCCCCGATAGCTCTTAGACATGCACATGCATACATATGCATAGACACTACAGTATATACATACTTACACATCCTGTCCCCTAATACCCTCCACACCCTCGAAGATGTCTCATCTCTAATGTGAGCCAGAAAAATCTGCCATATTTGGCTGGTCTTATTTGGGATAGTATTTACGTTGGCAATCATCTTTTCAAAGGCAGCCGTCTCTGTCGTAGCCACTCTGTAAACTCCAGGTTATGTGGACTCTTACGGTTGCATAGAATTACTGTCAGTTCAAACTGTGCTTCATTAAAGCTTGGTGGCACAAGAGATTCGTCCCCTAATAGACGCAGCTATGGGGATCTGGTAGAGGCTGTCTGAGCTTTTTTTTTCATTTGAACCTTTCCAGATTTTTCAATACCACCTTCCATAAAGGTAATACCATGGGACAGTCCCATAGAGCATGGAGAAGAATACCCACCTCTTTATTACATTCCCAGCATTTATTGTCTTGGGTTAGACCTATTTTAAACAGTTTCAGGGGTGTGTAATAATAATACAGTATCTATGTACAACTTTATGGTGGATCAACTCACTCCTCGCATTGAAATCATATCCTGCCATAAATCTTCCCTAATCTCACAACCAAGATCCCTGTGCCACATTTGTCTCGGGCTTTTACACATTTTAGTTTGAATATTTGACATTTTCTTGTACAATATTGAGGCAGTGTCGAGTATGGGGGTAATTTAAAAACTCTTGAAGATTATTCTGTAAATACTTTCAGAAATCTGCTTCATCAGTCTAACTAAATTGTTTTTTTAAGGCCCTCAAATGACATAAATGTGCAACTCTGTTAAGGTCACTGACGACAAATATACCTTTTGCCCACCTGAAAGAATACCCTCTTCCCTAAACTGAGGGTTATTCCATATGGAAGGGTAGCTTTGTTTGTATGGTGAAATCCCCAAAATCTTGTGTGCCCTTGCCCACTGAGGATGTTGTAAGATTGGATTTCCTTCATCTGTCGTTTTTGTTGTGTTCTTCTGTGATAAAAGTTCCGGGTTTAGATCATGTATTATGGTGGATGATAAAAAAAAATAGCTTAGAAATAGTAAATCAGCAGGAATAAAAATTAAACATACATTGAGATCATTATTAATGTCTGTTCCTCATACAACCTTGGCAAGTTTAAAAACACAAGCATTTGAGTGTTTGCACTGGAGCTGTTATAGCTGATAGTTAACAGATATTCTGATCTTTTAGGTTTCCATGCCAAAACAAATACAAAGGATTAAATATGTCCTTACATATGTTATGTTTTCAGTTGAAAAACAGCATTTAGAGGACCATGTGAAACTATGATGAAAGCCACAATTTTGGAATTGTTTTAGGGCTTAAGGTTGGGTATTTGTTTCCCACACTTTGGTTCAGAAATTTCAATCAAACTAAAGGTTTTATGAACTGTTTCCATCAGCAGGCAAGTGTGTGGATGTAGTATACGGCCTTTTTTGGATGGTCTGTAATTCAGTCTTTGTCACTGTGCTGTAAAATGATGTGATGGTCAGATTCTAACTCCATATTAAGTTCCACACCTCTCTATGGGTGGAATTTCAGCTCACATGGAAGTCCAAATAACCTACATTATGTGATACAATAAACAAAAGCAAGACAGTCAAGACTAAACAATACGGATGAATATAATACCAATTTCACAAAATCCCTACTCATGACAGAAATCTCATTTATCATATAACTATAATGATAATAATAAAAAGAAAACCTACAACCAAAAGGAACAAAGTCAGAAATGATTACCTGAGCTGATTATTGAAATTGTTGCACTAACAGCTGGCTCAGCAGCTGTTTGGGTCGGGACATACAGGGATACATTACTGATTTAAAACAAAGATTTACTTTTAACGGTAACAAAGCGAATAAATGAATGATTTCAATCCTGTCCCGATCGTATAGCCGCAGGGACAGGAACGCAGTCTCCATACTTTGTGAGTTATGACTGAATGCTCATTTCAGCAAATGTGGAAAACAGTCCAGTGCTGGAATTTGGCACCAGATTCTTATTCTTGTTAATGTACTCTGTAATCAGATATTTCCTGATTTAAATCATAATTTGATACAATATTTTATTTCTCTATGATCTTGTAAAACTGTTTGTGTTAACCCCTTCAGACCTGAGGGTCCGCTTTTTGCCGCTTTTTCACCCATGAAGAAATAACATGGTGGAAAATATCACTAACACTGTAGTGGGTTTTAGCTGTGTGATAACTGTACAAATGCGTAGGACAGCAATGTATTGTTTCTACTGCATTTTTTAAATTTAATTTATTTTTATTTTCAAAATGTTATTCATGACACTGCCTTTCAGAATAATTGGGCTTCTTAGACTTTCTTGAAACCCACAGAGCAAGTAACGTTGGTCATGGAAGCCATCAGGTCATAATATAATACTTGAATAGGTTTAAAGACTGACTGATTTCATCAGAAGGCATCTCAAATGCATTTAAACAAAATTAATAAATAAATAAATCAAAGTACAAGGGCCACTTGGGAGCTTTGTCTGCAGCTTCCAATCCCATTTCATGGCCTTCCTCAGCAAATACAGTTTGTAAGGTTGACACAGAGACAGCTTAGTTGTCATCCCATTGCCTAAGCATTGAATGTGGTGGGTGAATTCAAACATTGTAAACATTTTTACTGTTTTTTTTTTCTTACTTGTATGATAAGTAATATTGATAGTTAATAAATAATCTACTGAGGCACTGGTGTTGATGATTGACTACTCAGGCATTCTTCAACAAATGTAAGTCTGCAGTTAGTAATGTTAATATGGAAAAGCGCTAAAAAGGGTTCATCTTTACACTCTAAAAAGAACTCTAACAATTAGTTTTTACTTAAAATCAGTAAGTGTCTGGGCTGCCTTACATTTTTAAGTTGACTGAATCTGAGAAGACACGGTGAATCATTACAAAATTCAGTCAACCTAAAATTTCAAGGCAGCCCAGACTCAAACCAACTGTTTTAAGTTAAAACAAATGGATCCTTTTTTCTTTTTTTTTCTTTTTTCTTTTTTAATAGAATCTAGAAGCCTTAAGTTGTTTTTTTTATAGTTTATAAATAATGCATAAAACCTTGAGGGACTTTTTGTTAAAGCATTGATAAAGCCATTATTTACAACCGACAAACCTGGCTGCCTCATTAGAAATAATACCTGTGACTGCATATGGGATTTTGTGAGCTCGGGAAAAAGCTAGTAAGTAGACCTTGAGCCTCCATTGTTGCTATATTCTATATTTGTACACTGATTCCCTGACTTGTCTTGTATATTTTCTTCTGAGAATTTTTATTTTTTTAAAGAGCTTTAGTTTATTTATTTATTTAATTCAAAGTCAGGAATAAACTTTCATGCTCAGTCTCAATTGTATCTGGTTGTTGATGACAGAAACCAGCCTGATGTCCACTAAGATGGTCATTTGATTTGGGGAAAAAAGTGTGGAAATTAATATTTAAAAAGTAAAATGTTTCTTATCTGACTTCCTGTCTTGTCTGTCTGCAGGTCTTCTCTCTTTTACGTCAAAACTGTACATTTATTGACAGGTTAAAGTCTACCTATAACTCAGCCAAAGTGCGTTTTCTTTTGCTGAAACAAATAAATATCTGA